TCGAGTACAAAGTGCAAGTAGTTACTTGTTTGCTGGGAAAATCAACTGAAAATAGATCTGTGTTGTAGTTTTTGAAAAAAAATGAACCACTCGATTTCGCTAGGGTTAAAAATGAAAAAAAAGTCGACGACACCAGTACACTAAGGGTATTTTAAATTACTACACACTTATTAAGAGCTATGCTAATACGATGAATTAAGTAAATTTATATTGCGTGTTGTTATGTTTTAATGCATAAAAAATTCCTTTAAAAAATATTAAAATTTAAAAAACAATAATATGTTGAGGTGACAGTAATACTCTAGCAATTTACGAAAAGTATAAACGTCATAAGCACAGTTTATGTCAAAAAATTTCAAAGTGAAACTACTTTTTTTTTCGTTTCATGTACAGTAATAAACCTTTTCGCAGTTTTTCAACAACTGATCCCCGAGGAGTACTTTTGGGTTGTGTGCAGCGTTTACATTTTGCGCACACGGTTACACTTACTGTGGGGAATTCCGCCTCATTATTAGAAACATTTCTTTTCGAGAATAAAATATATGTAATTATGTGATATTTATGAACAAAATGCATAGTATCAATACTTAATTAAGAATACTATCAATAGTTAAGTACATAATTAGCGCTTGTGTTTCTATAAACTGGAAAACTGAAATCGTAATTATATGGTTATCGCCCAGACTGTGGTCATAATTCTTGCGTTTTCGTCCATACAAAACTTGTCGAACGAATACCAGCTTTCGCTGAAAACTACTTGAAAACTCACTTTCCACTCATTCCAATTGGTGTCTTCACTAGTATTTTTTATATATTTATTCATGATAAAAATATAGTAAGGTATAACCGCTGAGAGTCACTTTTAAAATTCTTGACGTTTCCAAACAATTTAATTTTTAAATTTACTCACAAACTCACACACACATTTTCATTTTCAATCTCAAGCAACAACAATTTCGAACAATTTCAATTTTTCATTTTCACTTTTATATGATTTTAAAATGTTGGCAAACTTCAAAAAAAAAATCATGGCCGACAAATTGAGAGAACGGTCCTACCTTGCTATGTTTTTATCATGTATTTATCGATGTGGAAGTCATATTTTATCATGGTTTTCGACCTAATACCATGTTCTGAACGACATCGAAAATATGTTTTCGTCGGTAAAACTGGTTTTCGACCTAATACTTGCGTTTTCGTCCATGTAAAATCCGTCAAACGAAAACCAGCTTTCGCTGAAAACTACTTGAAAACTCCCGAACCACTCAATCCAATCGGTGTTTGTTCCAAGAATGATAGAATACAAGATTGCGCCAATCCATGATTCAATAATACAAGGTTCGATAAACTGACAGTTGTCTCTCTCGCACCGCTCCCTTAGCAGTGGCACCGTGTTGCTTCTTTGCACATTTACATGGAAACAGTGTAGCTTTGGTGTGAAATAGAAGTATGAGCGTTTGTGCAATATGTTTATTTGTATATGCATATGAAGCATATTTAACTGATGAAAACATAAACTGTTTTTAAATTGGATGTTTCCATCAATCTCATAGTAGTCTTATTTTAATTTTGAGTCATTTTGCAGTTTTTATACAGCTAAATAGCACATAAATTACGCAATTCACATAGATACATCAATATTACGTTCAACATTTCGTTTAAAATGTCAGATTTCCTGCAAATACATTAGAATTTACAAAAGGAATTTCACTACTAATTGCCTACTTTGCGTACTTTTCTACTACCATTTTCGCACCAAAAGATTTCATTCCTCCCCTTTTCTCCGTCCTTCGTAAATGCAACCTTTTGTAAGGGAGTGTCAAACCGCAGCTGTCAATAATTATCTAACCTTGTATTATTGAATCATGGCGCCAATCGAGCTGAGAGCAACTGGCCGTGACGTCAATAAATACCAGAATGAGAAAGCAAGACGAACTCGACAAGAAAAAGAGGAAGCATCGACCAAAAGGCAGTGTTGCCAAGTTTTGACTTTGAAAAATCACCAAATTTTTATTGGTGTATTTTATGGACTATGTATTAATACATAAATTTATTGTAAGGATGCCGATTCAAAAATCAATGTTTCTTGCACAACGGTCGATTTCTTCTGGCATGATTGAAGGTGCTGCCACATATTTCTTTGTCACTTATGATTGTCACTGTGCCATGATTTTGTTTAAATTTTTGTAAAATTGCTTACCACACTTACGATTGCTATACATTTTTCTTAAATTTTTTTAAGATTTTCTAATTTGGTGTCTTCAAACTAAAAACAAAAGCACCAAAAACGCATCAAGCACAAAAGTCAAAAATTTTCGCGTTTTGAATACCCACTAAATTTAGTGCGAAAAGCATGAAGTTGGCAACAGTGAATGTAAACAAAAGTATTTTATGACGTCAGCGATTGGGTGGATGCTGTCAAATCGACGAAGAGAGGGTTAGCGATCCGCGAATGGCGCGACCTTTATTTTCTGGATCGTGTGTTTGTTCTAGTTTTTTTTCGATTATTTATCGAAGTGGAAGCCATATTTTCTCATTCTAAAGGCCCGTTTACATACAACTTTGGCGTTGCGTTGGCGTTGGCGTCACTTCGACAGCTGACTATGAGTACATGCATTTATATGAAAGTCTCCATATAACCAAAGTTGGGCAACGCCGATGCCAACACAACGCAGAAAGATGGCCAACTCTCAACTTTTCGCGTGCGTCGTGCGTCAGCTGTTCTAAATAATCAAAATTATGTGATTTAATTTTCATTTTTAATCAAATGCGGGCAAGAAAGATGGTTTTTAATGCAATTATTGATGTAAAATTTTGATTTATCTGCCGCTAGTGTGTTAATTTAGTGACCAAAGTATTCTCTGCTACGCGTTCATTGTAGCAAGCACGGGCGTAACTCGCGCTGCTGTCAAAGCGACGCCAGCGCCAACGCGACGCCAAAGTTGTATGTGGACGGGCCTTAAATATGTAATTCTGATTTATTGTAAATTGGCTGGCCAAATATATGATATAATAATATAAATATATATGAATATATGAACAAAAGAAAAAGGTTATTTATTTCGTTGTGTTTGTTTTGTGTTTGAAAAATTCCAAATGTCAAAGACAAACCAAAGCTTTTGTGGAACTTTTGTTTCTGAGTGCGTTCAATAAAATAGTACGGCAATTGGAACGCATTTGTTTCGTGATTTTGTGTAAATGCGTCGAAATGCGTCATTCTGGAAATGTGAATTTGTATGGAGAAATGCGTGATTTGGCCTCGCATTTGAGGTTTCTCGCCCAAATGACGCATTTGGGCTCAATGTAAATGTAATATTAATTTTGGAAATGCGAATTTGTATGGAGAAATGCCTGATTTGCTTTCGCGTTTCAGATTTCTCGCCCAAATGACGAACGATTTCGAACTCCCGTAAATCTATATTTGCTAAATGTGATCATGAACCACAAATACAAGCTCACAGGCACCAATACTTTACACTTTTCTATAACTAAAAAAGAGTTAATTCAACATGACAAAATCGACTTTTTTCATTCTCTTGTTCTTGCGTGATTTTGTGTCGCTCGTTCCTAAAATGCGATAGTATGAACGCTCTTCGAAAACGAAAACGAAAGTGCTAATTGTTGCGTTTTAATTGTAGCAAAAACGCCTACATCAGATGCGAGTACAAAAAGTACTCAGTGCTTGAAGAATGTATCGAGTATTTACTCGTAGTTACTTGTATCGCAGCATCACTAGTCGTGGCTGTCGTACTCGCGTAGTCATCGTCATTGGTGATTTTCGTAGAAATGCGTTGCAATGTTCAGAAATTGTTTTTAAATTAAAACTTCTGAAATAATTCGCTAATTTGTTTGAGTCAAAATTGTGTAGAAAAGTTGGCGGATGATCAGTAAACAAAAAAGAATAAAATACAAATGTGTTGAAAATACCTAAATTTGGATAAAATGTGCGAATAAACTATAAGAAAACTTCAGACAGGAAAACAAGGTTAAAAAAGGTGGGGAAGAAGTTCAAGTGGAAAATAGAAATCAAAAGAAGAATAAGTCTAAACAAAAGAAGGAAATTGGTATATTGAAGAAACGCAGTGATAATTTCCATTTCGATTCGTAATTTCAGCAGCCGGGGAAAGTTGTGCGTGAGCTTTAATTAAGGTTCTACAAGTGAAATATACATATAAGAAACTTCGAAGTGTCGACTGCTTCATGGTGGGATTGAAACCATTGTGAAAAATATGCAGAGCTGGCACAGCCCTAAAACCGCCATAATAATTTAAAGGGAAGCAGAAACAATAGAAATAAAAAAAAAAAATTGATTCCGTCAGTCACTGGCCATAAAACTAGAAATATAAAAACGCTTTCATAACTAATCCCAAAGTGTCGATTATTGTTTAGTATGGATGAAGACGACAATGCATCCAGTGGTGGTGACACAAACCGTGAATCAATTTCTAATGCTAGAGTTGAAGCAGGTGGCTTGCGAAGCATTGATATTTCTAATGCGGAAACAACCACAACGGAAGAAGATGAGTCCGACGATGTGGATATTTCAATGGTAATGAACTTACCATCTGGTGTGTCTATTAGCACTTCAGTTAGTTCAGATGGGCNGCGACTGCATCGGCACCCGGACGGGTTTCACTCGACTTCCCTGATTGGGAATCTGTGGGTGCGACAGAAGCGGATGACGACTTGCTCACCGATGCTTCCTCAAATGCCTCGAACTCGGCAACTACTGCAGGGAATCCGCCTGGTAGCGCTGGAGGAGCTAAGCCTAGCTTTTTCTTTGGTACATCATCATCATTTAGTTTACGAAGTCGCAAAGAAGTTGCCGCTCTTATTAACGCAGAGTGCTGTCGTGGTGGAATAACACCTGAGTTGGACGCCGTTATGGACAAACTTTTCAATCCAGGAACGCCTATAGACAATGCAGATAATATAGAGTGGATTCGATGGTTAATTGCTGGTGGTCGCACCCCTCAAGAATTCGTTAAAATTGGTAAGTTTTCAATATCATACAAAAGGTTCAGACTTTTTAGGCATTATAAGTACAATTCTTAACTGAAAAAAAATTATAGGGAAGATCGAAATTATTTTTGGACCGGATTAAAAAAATTAGTAATTGCAAATACATACATATGTATGTATCAGATCTGTAAAATGATTTAATCAGTAGGATTTGCATTCACTCGGCATTCTTTTCAAAATTTTGATTTTATAGAAAAAACCCCATACCTCAGTGGCTTAAATTATTTTGAAACAAAAACAAACGTAATGTGTTATTGAACGGCAGAGTTCAATTCAGCATAGAGTGTGAATGTAACAGAAGCATTCAACATCACCGTGATTGTAAATTTCGGCAAACACTTGATCATTCAGTACTACACTGAAAAAGTACCCCTTGACACTAGAAAAAAATCTTGATAGTAGAAAATAGTCGTTTTGCTTCTGCTTTTCTACTACTGCTACAATTTGGTAAAGCATTACCTTTGAGCAAAAGTACGTAACAGCTTTAGATTATCAGTCGATGCCTTTTAAGGTCAGCTGCATATGTTTAAAGGAAACTTGCGGTAATTTTTTTGTAACGAAGCAATTTTTTATTTGTAAAAAACGATGTTTTTATTTCCCAACTAGCTGAGATATATTATGTATTATAATTATATTTTGACAGTATCCGTTGTTTC